TTAAGACGATTCACATAAGAAGATTTAAGACGTGTTACTTTAACAATGGCAGAACCAGGTAGTAGTGCGATAAACGACGATCTAAATGCAAAACTGGCGGATATGACGACGGTTCAACTAAAAGACGAACTAAAAAGACGAAAATTAAAGACGACCGGATTAAAGAACGAACTCATTTTAAGACTATCAGCAATTATGCAAATTGAACGCGACCATGGTGAACTAGAACAACATGGCAATATCAAGAATAAAAATGACGATGAAGATACATACAGAAGGCAAGAAGATACTAGTAAAAGTAATACAACTTCCAGTGACGATGATGAAGAGCCGATCGAAAGAAGACGAAATAGAACGAGAAATTTACAAAGAAATCAGCTATTAACATTTAGAGATGTCGAAGAATTTCTAGAAACATTCAGTGGAGACGATAAAGTAGACGTAACAAGATGGATTAAAGATTTTGAAGAAATGGCTGCATTATGTGAATGGTCCGACATTCAAAAAATGGCCTATGGAAAACGTCTTCTTCGTGGTTTAGCAAAATTATTTGTTAATTATGAAAAATATACTCGTCTACTCTCGACTAATAGTAGCTGTAAACACGTGACCAAAACTGTTGGTTAGATAGAGAGATCCGGGTCCGAACAGCTATCTCCATCTGACCGGTCGAGAACAAAGGCGTGCTCGTTCCAGTATGGTATATATTTCAATGCTCGAATCAGACTATTGATCGATATCGATAAATTCAATACTATCTGTGCTATCTGGCTTACAAGGGGAGACTACGACGTGATACCAATCGATTTTGTCGAAACTCCGTGTATCGATAGAGTATCATGTCAAGTGTTTCAGGGTTATCGGATAAGACGCACTTCTCAAGCGTTCGCGAGAAAATCGAGATTAAAGAATCCCAAGCGCTATATTAACACATGGCGTAGAGCAGTGCTCGGAATTAGTCTGAACATTTCAGCCGATTTCCGTGGTATACGCCTCCTTTCCTCTCCTTACCGCGCGCGCCGCAGCCGCTAGGGCCAGCGCCGCCGAGCGTTAGGAGCGACACTATCTGATTATGAATGGGTTCTTCTTCCTATTTATTAAAATTTTAAAAATGTT